GTTTCAGACTACTTATATTATATAATGGTATTTGGATTATAGATGATATTTAGATTATATAATATTATCTAGATTATAGTGGTATTCAAATTATATAGTGATATCTAGATTATATAATCTAACATAAGTGGGATACCACCATAAAATATAAATTATATTTTATGGTGATATCCCACTAGCTTCATAACTGGTACAAATAATAAAAAAGGTATGAATAATAAATTTCCTTTTCATATTACCAATTATAAAGTTTGGTTTAGTTACTTATGCGGGCTAAACTGCAGATGTTATAGAACACATGATCACCGGATCTGCCCACCTACTATGATTCAACTTTTTGTTTCTTTGCTTATCATTGTTACTAACAATCCTTCTATCCTTCTATATTGTAAGAAAAATCTTGCATAAATCTTTGATACAAATTATGTTCTACGTACGTACCTGACCCTACTTCTAACTACTGTATAACTATGTGCATTACTGCTTTAATATGTAAAGACTCGAAATAATAGGTATGGTCATTGTTTAGATCATTTAAATTAATGTAACACCATGAAATCCTGAAATAGCGCGCACTTCATTGATGATATGTATCAGCGGGTTTATATATATATAGTAATAAGCTCACAAAATTGACTTTTTACCGAAATAACGCACATAAGTGTATAGGTGTATTCGAAATAGCGAACAGGTGATCAAAATAACTCGAGTACTATCGTTTTTACTATCGTTTCTAAAGGTTTTCAATGACACAGCCTGGTACCTGTTTTTGCCATGATTAGTAAACTATTTTGGTCACAATTATATTAAGCCACAAAAATCAAGGTGTCTCAGTTATATCAGGTCGTAAAAATTATATCCAAGTTTTTTTTTTTTTGTCGCAATTTTATTAGGAAATCATATGATAAAATCGGATGATGATGAAATTTAGGTCTCAATTTGAAACTATAAGCCCATATATGCTCTTTTATTAACGTTAATAACTCTAAATCTTAACTTTAAAAAAAAAAAAACGACAAAAAAGGCCCCCAAAAAAATTTAAAACATCGTACGTACGTACGTACGTACAGTACAGTACAGTACATAAAATAGATTCCAATTTCACCATCCGATTTCACGATCATCCGTGACGGTTAGTATCGATATCGACATTGAAAATGAGGTTGGACTGTATCGTTTAAGTCCAAAACTTGTTCCAAATTCCAAACATGATAATCAGATTGTAGCTTTGATATTACTTTTACTAAACATTTAACGTTTAATGTTAAATGTCCACTTGAATTATGGCGTTATATTTGCGTGCGTGCGTGTGTAAGTATGTGAGATTTATATCTCACTGATTTATGCTCTGCGCGCAAAAAAAAATCTTAATACAAATATATTTAATACCTTAAAACAAAAAACCTGCGATATTTGGGCGGTAACTATAAGTAACTATAATTTTGGTAGTGTTTTTTTTTTTACAGTGAATACTTATCCATTAAGATTCAAATCTATATTGGTTCTTTTTTTTCATTGAGGTTTTCGTGTCTGAGTGAGTAGCATATTAATATATATTGCATATTTATAACCGAGTGTTTTCTAATTCCATGAGTCGCGAACTATATCATAAAGAATATTTTCATAAATATTTATTTGCTTGTTTATCAAAAATAGAAAAATAAAAATGTTGCAAATATATCTATCAAAAATCTACCGTTTCATCTTAATCGAATATGCATTAATAGAATTAAGAATGTATCTGATTACAAAAGTATCCGGTTGGATTTAGAAAAAGAAAATACTTTGCCATGTACAACCTGGAAATAAAATTTGACCATTGACGTTGTATCAAAAAATAATGCACAAGTTGGATTATTTAAAATTAAGAATCGCATCTTTGCATCGTTGTTTTTGCTACTCCTCTCCTTAATTGGGCTATTATTGTAATTTTTGGGGAAGTACTACGTAGTTAACGATCGTTATTAAAATTCTTTAAATAATCATAACCGTAATAACCGTAATACGTACAACTCATTAAGCAGCGCATAATTTTTAAGTTGTAAAAAAAAAAAGACTATACTATACTCAAAAAAAAGGACTATACTTTTTTCTAATTCCTTACGCGAAAACAATTAGTACTTTTATGGAAATGGCTAAAAAATTTTATTGTTTACATGCCTATAAAACCTGCTCGACTTTTTCTGAAACTTTTTCTCCCCCAAAAAAAGAATCAAAAATAAAAGAATAAAAAAAAAAATAAATCAAAAAAAATGAACAAATATTTGATAAAAACTTCTACATTTTTTTTTAATGATTCTGTTAAACCGTACTCATGTTCACGAAACTTACCTCGACTACCTGCAGATTGCCTTGAAAATATTTTTAAATATTTGTCCGATGACACAGATTCTTTATATTCTTGTCTATTAGTTAACAGGTTATGGTGCCAAATTGTAATTCGAATTCTATGGAGAAATCCGTGGAATATTGATTCAAAACCTAAATATAATCGTATAACTTCTTGGACTTGTATAACTAGAACATTGATATCTCTTATTTCTGATGCTTCCAAACAGAGTTTGAAACGAAATGGTGTTGAAATCCCTCCTTTGATCGTTTCATCTCAATTATCATCTCCTATATGCAACTATTTGGAATTTTGTAAATCCCTTTCGCTTAAAGAAATTCATAAAGTTAGACGAGAATTTCTTGACCTAATTCCAATGAGCAATATCGAAAAAGTTTATAAAGAAGATTTAGTAGAAAAAGAAATTTACAAATTATTTCTTGAAAGATGTTATTCTCTTAAATACCTTCAACTTTTGGATGTTCCACTTACTGATTGTCCTGGTGCCACCTCAAGTTTATCATATCTTTGTGAATTAGAATGTAACGCTAACATTTCTTCAAAGACATTTTTAGAACTCTCCAAAATTTGTCTGCACATTCAAATAATAAACATTAATCCATGTGATAAGGATAATAAAGGTTTAGCAACATTAATTAAATCGCAAAAATATTTAAAAGAATTAAAATTACAATGTTCATATCGAGATTTCAAAGTTCCTTTAATCAGCAACGCAATCTCTACTCTTTCCGACACTTTGATTTGTATTCGATTAATAAGAAATATTTGTATTTCACCCGAAACTCTTCGTTACTTATCAAATATTAAAACATTAGAATTAGATTTATCAGAAACTCAATCATCTCATGATATCTTAAAATCTATAAATCTACCAAATCTCGAAATCTTGGATGTCAAATTTGATGAAGTCACACCTTTTTATATTTATACAAATTTAATTTCAACTACGAAAAACTCTTTAAAAAAAATAAATATCAATCATTGGTGTTCCGTGTTGAATGAAGAAATTAGACCGTATTTACATTCCATAATTAATCAATGTAGTAAATCATTACAATACGTCACAATTTGGTTTTCTCAAAATGTTTTCTTGGATATTAAACAATTGATGATTTCTTGTAATAACTTAAAAACAATTATCTTTGAAACTTTGGATGAAAATGTTGATGAAGATGAGTACGATAATGGAAGGATAATTTTAAATCTTTTGGGAAAATCTGCTCCTCGTAATTTAATAGATTTAAGATTTAATGGTAAATGGAATTTCGATGTTACTGATTTACATGAATTTTTGAAAATTTGGAAACATAGAAAGACTCCATTATCATTACGAGTTGATATTTATCCTTTTACTCTTTCTCGGGAGTGTATAAATTTAATCAACAAGTATCGTGAAGATGGTGTATTAAAAAGCTTTTCTTGGTGTTAATAATAATGCTGTCTTAGGCCATACAAAGTTAATTGTTTCTCATAATCCGGAAGGTTTTATGTAATAATATCTTCTGAAAAACAAAATTGTAGTTTTTTAAAAATTAAAATTTAGATTAGCGGGCTCCAGATCCAAGTCAATGTCACTTGTATGAAAAACAATTAATTTTGCATGACATTATATTTAACAAGACTAGATTAGGCATATATAGTTTTAGGTATTGAAGGGTTAAAATGAGTTTATTCTATGTTTTAGTCTTTTTTGTTATCATAAACACTATGTAAAACACTATGTAAAAAATATATTTATATAATCTAATAATCTAACAAAGAAAATTGTATATTATCTGCAATAATTGTTTGCATATAACAATTTAAAAATGAATAACACAATGATGCATATAGAAATACAGAAACAAAAAGGTTTACTCGTAATATATTTGTTCTATTTAATGAAAAAGAAAATGATCAATTAATACGATATTAATATCCTTAAAAACAACAGACATATACAGTGGATCGCCTAATAATATTGCCATACAAATTTATATTTTTATTAATCAAGTAAATTTCATCGAGTAATAAGTTATACCGTATCATTTCTACCGTATCATTGTGAAATAATGTTCTGGGTAGAGATTGTACCCGTCGAGAAAATTTCTACCGGGTATTATTAAATTACCCGGTTATTCGGGTAATTTATTATACCATAAAATAAAAATGTCTACCCGGGTCAATCTCTAGTTCTGGGCGATATTTTGAGATAAAATTTCTAGAGAGCTAGGAATTAATTTTATCTTTTAAAAATCTTCGTTTAAATTAATTCTTAGTTCTTTGAAAATTGTACCTCGAAATAACATTCCAAGACGTTATCCCGCACAAATATGGTAGATTGAAAAACTAAAATTTAAAATTTTGATTTTCTTAATGATTTTATAACTAGTAATCATAATCGATGAAATCTATTTAATAATATAATACGACAGTGAAACCCGCGTCAGAGGTGGTTACGTTATTGATGCACACCACCTCCTCACTCTAATCTGCATCAAAGAAGTAACCTAAAAAAACGCGAATTTCATCCTTTTCGTATCCACACTGATAATAAAAATTAACTCGGGTTTCACCCTGTCCTAATATAATTTTTAACTTTATGGCTGAAACTTTCAATTTTAATTATCAATTAGAGTGTCCAGACTTATGCGATTTCGGAGATTATTTTTTAATCCCAGAAACCATACAGGTCTTATTGCGATACACGATATAATATTGAATATATATATATATATATATATATATATACTTACCTTCATCCAAAACTTCAAATGGCTCTTCTTTTGAAATAGCATCCAAATCAATGAATTGACTATAATAAACATCCTCATCTTCAAGCGTTTCAAAGGTAATAGGATTTGTTCCAAAATCTTTATTATCCATCTCATAATCAGCAATTTTAAAATCATCGTAATTTGTTATTAAAAAATACCAATCCATCAAAATTTCATAAATTTCATTAATATTTGGTCTCTTAGCTGGATCAGCATCCCAACATCTTTTCATCAAATCAACATAACATTTTGGTGTCCTAGATGTATTAATTTGAGGTCTTTCACCACCGCAAATATCTAAAGCTAAACTTGTGTTTAATTGACTTCCATAAAATGGTGGTTTTCCGGATGAAAGTAACCACATTATAATTCCAAAACTATATATATTAGAAGATTCTTCCGTGTATAATCGATGTCTTTTCAATACTTCAGGTGCCACAAAAGGAAGTACACCATACATCCCTTTTGATGTTGTTTCTTTTTTGGAATTTCGTTTAATGAGAGAAAATATTCCAACTGAAATATATGCCATACCGTCATCTCCAATCAATATATTTCCCGAATGTAAATTTTTATGAACAAACCCTGATTGATGAATTAATTTTAATTCTTTTGCAATAGAAATAAGAATTTTTAATTTATCATCAATCCATTTCATGTTTTGAAAATTTTGAAAAAGAT